TGATTCATGGTGCTACATGCAGTTACGTGTTACAAGCCAAAGAAAACCTTTTCTAATTTTCCACTGTCTCATCATCATCGACGTTCCAAAAAAAGCTCAGAAGACTTGTGTAGGTTGACTGGTGGTTTTGGATAGTAAATAAAATGTCTATATTTGTGTTGTAGACATGGAGAACCCTGGTTCTTATCACCACCACTGTAAAGAGAGCTGGGTCTCTACAAATGATTCATTGGATGTTGGTGAGTTCCATCAGATTGTAATGTGTCAGTGTTTTGTAAAAGCTGCTCTCTGTTATGTCTAACATCATCCCTTAACCGTGATATAATCACTAAAACTCACAGTCAGGCGGCTTGTTGCTTTGAAAATGTAGCGATGGCTGAATACTGAATACACTGTCTTAAATGTAAACAGGCATGCATTCTGTTAAAATACAAGAAAAAAGTAACATATACAGAACACCTCTTTTTTCACTTAATTCACACTGTTCCTCTTCATGTAATTATTCTATTAATACATAAAAATCATAAAAAAAAGTTGCTTACAATTTAAATGAAGCTCAGTAACACTGAGATTAATAACTGATCACATTGTTTTATCAGTCTACTCAGGCTTTAGCAGAGCTCAGTAACACTGAGATTAATAACTGATCACCACATTGATTTATCAGTCTACTCAGGCTTTAGCAGAGCTCAGTGACACTGAGATTAATAACTGATCACATTGATTTATCAGTCTACTCAGGCTTTAGCAGAGCTCAGTAACACAGATTAATAACTGATCACATTGATTTATCAGTCTATTCAGGCTTTAGCAGAGCTCAGTAACACTGAGATTAATAACTGATCATCACATTGATTTATCAGTCTACTCAGGCTTTAGCAGAGCTCAGTAACACTGAGATTAATAACTGATCACATTGATTTATCAGTCTACTCAGACTTTAGCAGAGCTCAGTAACACTGAGATTAATAACTGATCACATTGATTTATCAGTCTACTCAGGCTTTAGCAGAGCTCAGTAACACTGAGATTAATAACTGATCATCACATTGATTTATCAGTCTACTCAGGCTTTAGCAGAGCTCAGTAACACTGAGATTAATAACTGATCATCACATTGATTTATCAGTCTATTCAGGCTTTAGCAGAGCTCAGTAACACTGAGATTAATAACCGATCACATTGATTTATCAGTCTACTCAGGGTTTAGCTGAGCTCAGTAACACTTTACATGCACTCAATAATCCGATCATAACCAGATTTCTGCAGTTATCTGATTATTCAAATGGTCATGTAAACAGCATACTCCGATTTCTTAGATCGTTTATGTCACGTCTTCTTCTGTAAGTTTATTGGCCGGTTGCAAAGCAGAAATCTGATTACTGTCTGACTCATGTAGACCCAGAGTTTTCCCTATTATCTGATTACGCAAGTGCATGTAAACGCATTGATCAGATTACTGACAATATCTGATTTTCATTGATTCATCAGTCGACTCTAGAGAGTCTACTTTAGAGTTCATCTAACGGATATGTTTTGAACTGAATTTAAAAGAGTTAATAAACAAGAATGAATGGTGTTTGTTTTGAAGATCGTATTATTTAGTGAATAAATATTCCAATAAATGTTTTCTCCTAACAACGTAAACAGTAACTGTGTTCTGAATGCTGCTTTTTCAAAATGTAACTTGAACTGAATACAGATGCTTCATTTCTTTATTCTATTACATCCCAACTCTGCTTATTGCTTTGTAATGCTGCACTGAACAGACTTGAATCCCCTAAAATTCCACCATGGCCTGGAAGCCAACAACCACTTCTATGATGGATGGTGGAATTTCCTGACTGCTTTCGTTGTGCCTCCTGAGCGGAAATGACACACTGCTGCTGAGTGCGCTGCTTTGGGCCGGACAGAGGAGACAGGCCACCCAGCGTTTGTAGGGGCTGTGGGCTGGCCTATGATAATGCTTTCTTTCATGCAAACTTCAGAACAGCAACAGATGAAGTCAGTTCCTGTATAATTCCCCCTGCACGTCCAAAACTCAAGCCGAAGCCCCCTCACAGCCCACTCCAACCACGGGATTCATCTCACGTACCCTCCGATTGACGCAAACCTTCTCCACCTTAAGAGACACTGTTTCATTCTGAAACCTAACTGGACTCTAACCACAAAAGTTGCGTAACTGTCCAAGTATGTAGGGACAGCAGTGCGTATGTAGAATGAACTTGTGGCTGTTGTGCCCTCTAGTGGTGATTATCTAAAAGTACAGGGTGTCCCAAAAAAATTGACATCATTTTGTAGTCTAATAACAGCCAATTCTCCCTCAAATGATCTCAAATTTTAACAAAATGTGTAAAAACTAACCAAGTTTCATTTTTAATGTTTTTTTTCAGGTTGAAGAATGGCGTTCACTAGAAATGAAAAGGCATTTTGTGTGTTAGAATATGCTCAAACACAGTCAGACGAGAGTGTGTAGCGTGCATTTTAGAGAAAATTCAATAAAAATGCACCAGCTGGAAAGCAGATTTGGACACGGCACAAAAAATTCAAAGAGGAAGGCTGTCTGTGCAGGACAAAGGGATCTGGACGACCACCAGTATCAGAAGATATTATATTTGTGAAGCTGTGAAATCAGTTATAAAATCTACATCCCTCTGAATTTCTTGTTCGAATTTTGATAAATAAATCTTGTGTTGTTCAACATGAAGCCTATTTAATTTTGTTTGCTTGGACATGTAGTTACTCAGATACTCACATCTCAAATGATGTCAGTTTTTTGGGACACCCTGTATTTTGGAATTTGTGACATCTTTACTGCCTGGGCTCCAGGACATCCCAGCCAAAAAAAAAACAAAACAAACAAAAAAAAAACAGCAAAAAACACTGGTCTTAGCTGTTTTATGCTGGTGTAGTGCTGGTTTAGCTGGTCACCCAGCATGGTCATGCTGGTTGGCCAGCATGCCAGCATCCAAAAAAAAATCGCTGCTGTCGGAAGAAATCCTTGTATCTCCATTTTTGTTGTTTTTCAGTTTTTGACATAATTTGAACATGCCTGTTGCCCTTTACATTGTGTGTAAATTTCATGATGAATGGACCAAAACAAACGGCCCAAAATGACTTGGAAAAAATTCTGGTTCCATTGACTTACATTAAAAGTAAAGTCGTTTTCTTCCTTCTCCTTTAAAGTTACCATTTTGGAGATACAAGGTTTTCTTCCAACAACAACGATATACTGGTTTTGCTGGTCTGTGCTGTTTTTTCTAGCAGGGATATATGTGATAAAGGCTACTCAGAGATCAGTGCAGACTGAGTGCCACCTGCCTACAAACCACAGCAAATCAAGATTTGTCTGTTTTTCTGCTGACTATTTGAGCTTTTATATAATGAATGAATGAATGAATGAATGAATAAATCCAACATGTTTTAGCTTTTGTCAAAAATAAAGTAAAAGTGACTCCACTCTGAGCCTTTTCTTATTGAATTTCTGTTTTTAAATTATTATTGTTATTATTATTATTATTATTATTATTATTATTATTATTATTATTATTGTTATTATTATTAATCCTTAGTCTTTGAATGCTGCTATGGTACTCTAATTCATATACTACCAGGCTTTTACATCCTCTGAAATGATTAATAGCTCTTACGTTCGTATTCAGGTAAACTGCTACTTTGATTTTACTGATTATAATATATGTTACATAGCTTTTGTTTTGTTTTGTACAGCACTTTGTTTGGCTCCTGTAGTCTTTTAAATGTGCTTTAAAAATAAAGCTGATGACTTAATAGGCTGCACTGTGTTGCTGTCCTGTCTAGTTAAGATCATTTATGTTTGTCATGTAAATGTATTGTTCTGTAAACTTATTGTCCAGTGTTGTCTATCATGCACCCATTTCACACTGTTGTATATCTGCACTTTATCTCACCTAATCTTTCTGAATTTCTGTTTTTAAACTCCACTACAAAGTCCACTAGATGGCGCTCGTACACTAAAGCTGTACGTCCTAGATTTTAGGATTAAGCTTTACAAAAAAACTGTAATTAAAATAGTTTTAGAATTCATTAAGTTCCAATTAACCTTTACATTAAGCGAATCGGCTGCTTCGCGCTGATATTTGAGCGCTTATACGATCGCTAAAAAGCAAAAATACCCTTTTCCCCCTCTTAAACTCGTTAGTCCTCTCTCGTTTATAAACTTCAACGACCACAATTCTTTGCGTGCAGCTTTGAACCAATCCGAACGCGCGGGCGGTGTTCGCCCACATGACGTAATTCGAGTCGCTTTCCAATGAACGCCTGGATTCAGAGTAAGCGGTATGTTTTTTTATCCCACCCATTTTCAGACAAATCCCGCCTCCTGCACGCGGGTTGGCTAGTAAGTTCAAAAGCAGCCCGCTGATTGGATAGTAAAGTGAATAAAATGGCTGCGTTTAGGACGTTCGATTTATTAGAAAGAATAAATAATTTATTAAATTTGTTTCAATAATAAATCCCCTCACTTACAAGTGAAGTACAGACGACACAAGAATTTATTTTATTTATTTACGTGATTTGCCAACTATTTATCTGCATGCACTGTTGTTATGAATAATAATAATAATATAGTAATAATAATAATAATAATAATAATAATAATAATAATAATAATAATTCACTGTAGTGCATATTTACAAATGATAAATTACGAACATAAATATATTTTTATTTTTTTCTACAGGTGACGTTCGTCTCTACGTATAAACTCTGTATATTTCGATGTTGTCTATAATACAAATTATAACTGTAAACATAAATAAATATTAGATAAATCTTTTTTTAAAAATCGTCTCAATTTTCCAGTGTGTTCTACAGTGACGCGTCCGAGATCTCGACTGTCCAATCAGCGACCCGCTTTGAGAACACCAGCCAATCGTAATGCAGGAGGAGGCGGGCCTTCCTGAAAACGGGTGGGGAAAAGAACGCCCTCAGTCCCGCCCACAGTCCGGCGGCCTTCAGTGCGGCGCTGCTGACTCTCCCCTCGGGCTGCATGGCATTCACAGCGTCCTGCCGTCCACACAGAGCGGTGTAGAGGAGCAGGCGGGTCCGCAGGCAGCGCGGTGGTGCAGAGGTGGAGATCCACCCCTTTGTCGCTTCGACTCTCGGTGTTTTACGCCTGATCTGTTCGCGTCGAGGCTGGGCGGAGGCGCTGCACGATGATCGAGAGACCCGAGTCCGCTGTTTCCAGCGTTGCGGTGAGTCCAGCTCCGATATTTCTCCATGCATGAGTTTAACATTGATTCCTTCAGCACTCAGAACCCATTCATTGCGTTTGAGTGGTGCGGCGGTTCTCTGGGTGTCTCTATGCACCGCACGGAGCCTGAGCTGATTACCCTCCATCACTTCTGCTCTACTGAATTAACACTATTACGAGGCTTAATTCAAAGCTACTCGGTCCTATTTACTAACACTGCTGCTGAGAGAGGCTGGGCAGTCATGGCTGGCAGGCCCACAGCAGGACATCACCAGGATCCACATCCTCCATCTCCTGCTGAATGGGCCTCTACCATCTTACATACTCTTATAAAAGCAGATGAAGTGCTGCACCCTCAAAAAGGTGGTTCTTCAAGGGTTCTATTTGGATCTTTGAGTTCTGTACCCAACCATCTGCACGCTTAAATGGTCCTTTGTATGGTGAAATAGTTCCTCAGATTGTTGGCGAATGTGTTTTATATGGTCCTGTGTAGAATCTCTTTGAAAATGGTTCTTCGTAGTACCCAAAAAGGTTCTTCTATTGTAACAAGCTTGGCGTCTTAACAATACCAGAACCCCTTTTGGTGCTATTTAGACCCATTTTCAGCACATTCTCCATCAATCTGAAGAACCACTTCGCTGTGCAGTGATGCATTTAGGCATGAAATGGTTCTAAATAGAACTCAGTCATTCCCTTTACAGAAGAACCCTTGGAAAACCATCTTTTTTGAGTGGCTGTTAGTTCGCGGTATGTGGTGGTGAGCAGCCCTGTGGCTAATGAGAATGACAGACAGGCCTGGAGAGGAGAGGGGAGAGGAGTGGGGATGCATATCAATGGGGGGATGAGAAAGAAAGGCAGCAGCTAACAGAGAGCAGGCCTGTTCAGCGCTGCTCCGTATCTCGTTCCTCTCAGCTGTGAGCTGATGTTTCTGTTATAGTGACTGTAAAGTGCAGAGCGAAATCCCAAGTGGTGAATTAACACCCGCAGTATTCGTAAAGGTCCATGTGGGCGCAAATTAAATGCAGATTTTAATGGCGCGAGAGCACCGTGAGAGTGAATTCAGCACTGTAACAGTGAATTCAGCCATGTACCAGTAAATTCAGCACTGTATAAGTCAGTTTAATGCGGGAGGAGTGAATTCCGTGCTCATATGATAATGTATTTTCTGTTTTTCTGGAGTTGGAACAGACAAAAAAGCACCATAGTTAATAATACTGACTAAAACAACGACCACAATCATTTTTCTTAATGTTTTGCAATCTGTCCTGCACTAAACCCAACTAAAGAAGTCCGATTATGCCCTATTCATAATGAACATGGTTGCTCATTGTTGTCCTGATTATATCTCCACACGTGCTTAGAAAACTATTGTGATTTAATTTATTATGATGATAAATACCATCAAATACCCTCCCCTGGGTGTTAGAGAGATGTCGTGTTGCCAAACATTAAACCTAAAATTAACCCTTTACGCAGCCCAAAACTAAAATTAGCCCTCTCCTGTATGCTGACTCATCAAGCAGGACTTTATAGCTTACATTATGAGAATAAGGATGATGTCAGTGAATTCACTGCTCTGGGTGTTCATTAAATATAATAGGTGTAAATACAAGAGATTTTTTTACCATGTATCACCAAATCTGTTAACCCTTTAAGGCCAACTCAGAAAAGTCATTGTCATTGTTTTTGTCGTTTTACCTGATCCTGCAGTTTTTCACTGCTGTTGCATTTTGCATTTATTTTGCTATGTAAAGAATGTGGTCTGACAAAGCCAAACGTTCCTGTAGTCGTCTCACAAGCTGTCGTTTTGCACAAGAAAACGCATTAATAGGAACATGTCATTAAAAAAAGTTTAAACAAAGTGTTAAGAAGCTCTTATCGATCTGATCTGCGCTCTGAATGAGCTTTCAAGCTTCGAAAATCACAGTTCGTCCGGCGATAAAGGAAGCCTCGTACAGGAAAGCCCTGATTCTACATGCTGATAAGTTCAGCTGCGGCCAACTTGGATGTGCAGGCGCCGCGACTCTCTTCTGGTGGCAGTTTGGGAGGAGTTTAAGGGGCCGTCAGGTGGGACAGAAATGAAACAGAAACACTAACGTGGAACCTGCACAGTCAGTGGTGGAGTGACAGATTTCTTTGACTGATAAAGACAACTGAGTCACTGACTGAGTAAGTAAAACTTCCTCTGAAGCCAGAACAACCCAAAAAACATACGTTATTTGAGACAAACGCTGAAAAACTGCTCAAACTACTGTGTAAATGTTTTACTCTGCACACTCATCTTTTTATATATGCTGCTTTTTTATGTCACTGTTGTCTGAAGAAAACCTTGCATCTCCATTTTTGACCTTTTCCAGTTTTTGACATAATTTGAAAATACCTGTTACTCCTTACAGTTTATGTACAATTAATCATAAACAGGCTAAAAGAAATGACTAAAAATAACTTGGAAGAAATTCTGGTTCCATTGACTTACATTACGCAGTTTTTGCCAGAAATTACCAGTGAATTCAAACACGCTTATGAAATGTTAATGTGGCTGTAATGTGGTTTTGAGTTTATTTCGTAGTCATAGAGATAAGAGCTTCCTCTTGTATGAGTAGAAACAACTTCTGTCCTTTATAACGTCATGGCTTCCTCTATGCAAGAACATCAAATTGTAGTTATAGCAATATTGAAACCAGCTTTTAGTAGATTTTATATAGTGTGAAACATTACACACTTCTCACTAAACACAAACTCACTAAGGTTTTGTTGTTTGGAAAATGCCCCGCCCCCCAGCTGAAATGCAGATACTGATTGGTTCTGCTGATAAGTTTGACTCTGTCTGTTTGTGCCTAAAGGTCATGCAGCTTAAGTGGTTAAAAGTGGGGATTTTTTTTCATTGTAAGCATCCTGGGTTCGAAGCAAAATTGGTGGGCCGTCGCCCCAGTGCTTTGAAAAGTGGCCGGTCAGATGGCCGCTGGGTTCCATAGGGTTAAGTATCAATTTTAACCTTTACCCAGTGCAAAACAACACTTGGCGCACTTCTCTATATACACTCTGAAACTAAGCCAAGGGTGCCGTGGAAGATGATGTCAGCACTGTGAGGCTGAGCTCAGCGTGAGGAGAGTGAATTCACCATTGTTGGTGTTCATTCAGTGCTGTAGGTGTCAATTCAGCTCTGGATGTGGTGTTTTGTGCTAACAAGCCTCTCACCGAGCGTAAATCTGAACCCTTTCCCAAAGCTAAAATTAGCACATCCCTCGACATTCACTGAGTCACTAAGCAAGAGGACGTTGTAGCTGTTTATTGTGGTAGTGAGGATGATGTCATCCAGGATGCTCTGTCCGGGCCTGAGGCGGATACAGAGTGGCACGAATCCCGTTGGGAATTGCACTGTGGTATCCGTGACATTCCAGTGATGTTGAAATGCACCTACGCTCATAAAACTACAGGCTCATTGGATCGGATTCACATTGATTTACGATCAATTATTGTTTCCATAGAAATGTACATCCATGCCCAGAGCCATTAAAACCCCCCTTTTATTTTTTTTAAAGTGTATACATCCTTCTTTCACCCCTCCCACCCTTCTCTTTCCTCCATTCCTCCACCCTGGTCCCTTCCTTTTTTCCTTTATTCCATTCGTCCGTGGTTGGAAGAACTGTGGACGAGCCTCAGGTGCAGGAAGTGATGCAATAACATCGATGTAGCAGCATCGATGCTGTTACGTAAGAGAGAGGGAAAGTGTGGAAAATGCCCCGGGCGGCGACGAGAACGAGGCCAGCGCTATGAATAGACCACCGCATAGGCTGCACTCACTATAGATCGGCTTATGATACTGCTGGGCTTTATGTAGCTGCCAGTGCACAGCTGTGTGTTTGGGAACTGCAGTTTTGCTGGTATTTGATTAAAGTTTACTTCTCTTAGATGACGGCAGAATCGGTTTTATTGGCCAAGTAAGAAATCTCTTAACCTCTGAAATATTGATGCGCACAGAACAAGCGGATAGAATCTAAAAAAAGGTAAAAAAGTCAATAAAACAAATTGTTGAAGTGAATTCACTCTTATCTGCTGCGTATGTGCACTTTTCTAAAATAAAGCTGTTTTTCCAGATGCACTGCAGTTGATCGAATGGTGTATAATCTCTTGTTTTGTCAGGATTTATTCATGTTTATTTTTTTTCCTTGGACCAGATCAGATCAAATCAGGTTGCTTTCAAGATATCACAGACAACTAGCTCACACTAAGACATTCAAATGAAACTGAAAATATGAAAAAAATAAATCTAAAAACCAAAAAACAAAGTTTGAGATTTGCACGTGACACTTTCTCATGACTATAACTATGTAATAACACATCAGTAACTATAGAATGTTCTAAAAGCTCCCTCACAGAAAGTTATTACATAAAATGGTTATGAAAATGCTGCCTGATGACTGAGATATTGTTTTACTGTAGTTTTGAGAGAAAGGTTTAGTCTAATACATATGCATCGTGGAGGGATACGTTCAGAGCATAGTAAGGAAAAATAGTCCCCAAAGAAAATGCATTTATTTTAGATTTATCACTATTTTACCATCATCAACGTGCCATATAAACTCAGAGGACTCATGTATGATCACTGGTGGTTTTAGATAGTAAATAAAATGTCTATATTTGTGTTGTAGTCATGGCGACCCCTGGTTCCTATCACCACCACTGTAAAGAAATCTAAGTCAATACATTACATTGAATCCTTTCACATCAAACCACTCTGAATGACTCTGTTTTCATCTCAATGATTGAATTATGCAGAAATTCTTTAAAAAATTGGTGGAATTCCTCCTCAATGGTTTTTCAACCTAGTTTCTATCTGCTGCGTCTGAAACATTTTCCATAGATGTAATTAGGATGAATTTTCTTGTACTTAGTGAAAGAGTGAACCCTGTTGACTTGGTCCACACTTATAATAGGAGGTAGTGGGCAGGTGCTGAAGTGAACTTTGAGCCACTGGGTCTCCTGATCTTTTCTAAGCACAAGGAAATTGTCCGGTTGTATTTCTTTAAGTGTAACCCAATGAAATGCAAATGCGAGTGTACTTTTGATGTTTGGGTTTGTCTACAGGCCTCGGGTGACCTTGTTGTGTCTCCTTCTAGTTTGTTACGTTGTTAGTGGGCGAAAACGGAGGACGCCGCAATGTTCACGATGGCCTTAAACGCCTGATAACTGCTGTGCAGTGAAGTTTGCGTTGGATTGAAATAGTGTCACATCCTATCAGAGCCGCAGGGTTTAATTGGCAATCTGATGCCCCCTCCCTTCTTTCAGTGTCTCTCTCTCTCGCTCTCTTTAAATGATTATTGTGGGTTGGTTAGTTTTCCATCGGGCCTGTGCACGCTGAGGCCGCAGTCGTGTGGAGAGCCGAGCGGTTTACTCTGTCCGGTTCTCGGACCGTGCACCGGCCACCGACATGAGATTAGAGAACGATGAGGACGAGAAGGATGCGGAGGAGGAGAAGGAGGTAGAGCGAAGGCGGTGTGAGAAGTTAGAGAAGGAGAGCCTGCAGCTTGGCAAGGCGCTCGCGGTCATCTGGAGCGAAATCCACTGTCTCCATGACGACATCGACTTCATCATGGACTTGATACGAAATGTAAATACTGAAGAGCAGCGTTAGCTGCTTCTTCCTCCCCATAGTCTCTCTCTCTCTCTCTCTCTCTCTCTCTCTCTCTCCCTCTCTCTCTCTCTCTCTCTCTCTCTCTTTCTCCCTCTCTCGCCCCCCCACACCCTCCAAATCTTTACTACTGTTATCTTAGCCTGCTAACTCCTCCTACAAGCTCCTCGTGCTCCTGAAGTTCCACTTTTTCCTTCAGTCTGCAGGTCTATCTGCAGGTCTGTCTGCAGGTCTGTCTGTGCAGTTCGGGTTTGTTTTTGTTGCGCAGACGTTTACAAACTAATAATGAGACCTTAATAAGCCTCTAATGTGTTCCCTAAAATAAAGCATAAGCAAATGTTTTGTATGCAAAGTGTGTAGCGGAAATTATTGATTTAAAATTGTTTATTTTTTTGTGTTTGGGTCATCTTCTGACTTTTATGTAATGACAGATGGTAATGTTATTGTAGCATCACTCATTGCTCTGTACAGCCTGCGTCAGAGGGGGATGTTGTTTGTAAGTGTTGGGGGGTGGTGTGTGTATGTGTGTGTGTGTGTATGTGTGTGTGTGTTGGGGGGGGGGTTAACGCTGTTTGAGTGGGGTAATCACTTTCAGATTTTCAGGGTAATTAAAGCGGAGCTGAATGTGTTGTTGGGAGGGGATAATGCTATTTGAGGGCTTTAAGTGGGGGGGCTTTCAGGCTTTTTGAGGAAAGCTAGCTATTGGGGGGGGGGTGGGGGGTTTGAGGAGATAATGCCCTTTGTGTCTTTTTCTTTGTGTCTTTCAGTTTGTTTGGGTGTTGAGTGAGAGTGTTTGAGTGTTTTTTGTGGGTGTGGGGGATTTAGAACTGTTTGAGAGGGATATTACTCTCAAAGCTTGATTTAAGCCTGAAGGGATCGAAAGAAATGATGATTTTTGAGTATTTTAACGGGGTGAGAGAGATGGACAGTGCTGATTGGTGTTTTTCAAAGCAGGGTAATTTGGATGCTGTTAATGCAGTTTGTTTGGGTGTATTTTTACATGGATAATGCAATTTTAAAAATTTTAGTGTGGGTGATTATTTGGGGGGGGGTCATGCTATTTTAGTATTTTTAAACCCTTTTCACAGTAGCCATAAGATGCAATGTCAGCCTGATTTGGAGGTCCTACAATTCAGCCTTGAATGTTACTATTGTCTTGGTATTACTGCACTATTCATATTTGCACAGTCCATTACTGCACTATTCATATTTACACAGTCTATTACTGCACTATTCATATTTGCACAGTTAGTTACTGTAAATGTTTTACTCTGCGCACTCATCTTTTTATATATGCTGCTTTTATTTGTCGCTGTTGTCTGAAGAAAACCTTGCATCTCCATTTTTGACCTTTTTCAGTTTTTGACATAATTTGAAAATACCTGTTACTCCTTACAGTTTACGTAAATTTAATGATAAACAGGCTAAAAGAAATGACTAAAATAACTTGGAAGAAAGTCTGGTTCCATTGACTTACATTAAAAGTAAAGCATGTTTTTTCCTTCTCCTGTAAAGTTACCATTTTGGAGATACAAGGTTTTCTTCCGACTGTGGTACATACAACCTACGCTTGCATTCTCTCCGCTCACTCTGTATGTATGTATGTATATTATATTTATTCTTGCATATCTGTATTTTTACCACTCTACCACTCTTTGGCACTTTATATGTAAGTAATACTGTACTTTGCACTAGATCCTAACTGTATTTCATTGGCTCTGTACCTGTACTCTGCACAACGACAACGAAGTTGAGTCTAATGTAATCTGATCTAATGAATAATTTTACTGAATTAAAATCTTTAAGAAATATTTTAATTACGTTGTAATTATATTTTCAGTGTAACTGTTTTATTTGGCTATATTAATAGAAATATCAAACAGGTCGATTTCTATTTCACCGGGGGGGTGGGAAGGCTGCTACGAGGCCTTCAGAGAGGAGTTAATGTAATTGGGGTGATTATGAGGGTGAATAATGCCATTTTAGCATTTTTAATGTAGTGTGGTTGATTTATGTGGGAGGACATTGATATTTTATTATTGATATTTATGTTTTTAGCAGCTGTTACTGCCATTTAATGCCATGATTACTCAGTGCTCCTGGTGTATTCATTTGATTTGTGAAAAACTTGGTCTAACGAAGCCAAACATTATTACATTTTTATTTTGTCATAAATTATCGTTTTATTCAAGGAAACACACCAATGAGAAAACAGTTCACAATGCAGTGGCCTTTTATTGTTACTCAGATCGATCTAATCAATGTTTCCACAGCGTAATTAATGTGTGTTCACGCTTAATCAGAAACTATTGCAGTGCTTCCAACAGTAAAGGCAGCGTGGAGCTTCTTTCGTACAGTGATAGGAAACGTCATCATCAGTTAAAGGGGGAAAACATGAACATGATGAATGATGGATTATCAGTAAGATGTTTGATAGGGTTGATGCTGAGTGTTTTAAGGGTGGTCTTTGTTAGAGGGGGGGTCTTTTGGTGGTGTGTGATGCTGTAGTAGCGCAGGCTGCTGTGTAATTCAGTGTGTTTGATCTGATTGGTCTCTTCCAGCAGAGGAATCTGGAGGGATATGTGGGCTTCGCCAACCTGCCCAACCAGGTGTACCGCAAATCCGTCAAGAGGGGCTTCGAGTTCACACTCATGGTGGTTGGTAAGTCACACACCTGTTTGTCTGTCTGTGTGTGTGTGTGTGTGTGTGTGTGTGTGTGTGTGTGTGTGTGTGTGTGAGAGAGAGAGCACAGGTGGTCATAGTTGAGTGACACATTCTTTACTTGCCTGTTTGTTTGTGTGTGTGGTAGAGAGAATCCGTGTGTTAGTGCAGATGAAAGCCTCAGTGTTTTAGAGTTTGTTAGGGTTTAATGTGTTTGTTAGGGTTTAGTCTGATAGTTAAGGTTTAGTTTGTTAAGGTTTAGTGTGTTTGTTAGGGTTTAGTCTGATAGTTAAGGTTTAGTTTGTTAGGGTTTAGTGTGTTTGTTAGGGTTTAGTCTGATAAGGTTTAGTCTGTTAGGGTTTAGTGTGTTTGTTAAGGTTTAGTCTGTTTATTAGGGATTAGTCTGTTAGGATTTAGTCTGTTAGGGTTAAGTCTGATAGGGTTCAGTGTTTTTGTTAGGGTTTAGTGTGTTTGTTAGGGTTATGTCTGATAGGGTTTAGTGTGTTTGTTAGGGTTTAGTTTTTTTGTCAGGGTTTAGTCTGTTTGTTAGGGTTTATTGTGTTAGGGTTTAGTTTTTTTGTTAGGGTTTAATCTGTTTGTTAGGGTTTAGTGTGTTAGGGTTAGGTCTGATAGGGTTTAGTGTGTTTGTTAGGGTTTAGTTTTCTGTTAGGGTTTAGTGTGTTTGTTAGGGTTTAGTTTTTTTTGTCAGGGTTTAGTCTGTTTGTTAGGGTTTATTGTGTTAGGGTTTAGTGTGTTTGTTAGGGTTTAGTTTTTTTGTTAGGGTTTAATCTGTTTGTTAGGGTTTAGTGTGTTTGTTAGGGTTTAGTGTGTTAGGGTTTAGTGTGTTTGTTAGGGTTTAGTTTTTTTGTTAGGTTTTAGTGTGTTTGTTAGGGTTTAGTGTGGTAGGGTTTAGTGTGTTTGTTAGGGTTTAGTGTGTTAGGGTTTAGTGTGTTTGTTAGGGTTTAGTGTGTTAGGGTTTAGTGTGTTTGCTAGGGCTTAGTTTTTTTGTTAGGTTTTAGTTTTTTAGTTAGGGTTAAGTCTGTTTGTTAGAGTTATATAGAGCTGCTCAATTATGGCAAAAATCATAATCATAATAATTTTGCTCAGTTTTGAGATCACAATTATTTAACACTATTATTCATTGACTTTGGAAACATCAAACATCGTTTATTTATTTAAAAATGGTCTTTTTAACAGTAGATTTCTTTGAACTTTAAATGTAATTCACTTGAAAAGCAAATAAAAAAAGAAAGGAGTGCTCTGGATTTGTAACCCAGGACAAATCATCACTGAAAATAAAATGTGGTTAGTCGCCCAGTTTGTTCGGGTTTGTTTGTGGGTGTTTATCTTCTAGAGTTTGTGCTTTAGGGCTTGTTTGTGGTGTTTGCGCTTTGAGCCTCTGTGTTAAGGGTTTTAAGCGGCTTCGTTCTCTCAGTCACGTCACATTTCAAACTCATGTCTGGTCGGCGCAGCGCGAGGTGGGCGTCGTCTTCAGAGGGTAGAACACTGATTGACTCCAGTACTGATCTACATTATGAGCACCTATTGCCGAGGTCACCCACAATTATGATGTTATTTAGACAGTTTGAGTTATAATTTCATAATAATTTATAATTTCAATATAATTTTTATTACAACTCATTATAGTTCAGTTTTTAATGAAACAAAATCAGCTTCAGGCTGTAACGACCTTTTAGAAACCTTTATCTTTAAAGACTGTAGATGGACTGTGGGCTTGTGAAACAGGGCTTCTTTTATTGTCCTCTTATTTCTCACCGACTAACTGATACATCTTCGCTATCGGAGCAAAAACTCGTATCTCTGGAAAAAGAAACATCCTTAAATTTTGTTTTAAGTCAGTGTAACAAGACTTTATTTTAAGCCTTTTTGGACCTTTTCTGTTGGTCCATTTGTCATGAAATTTTCACACAGTATAAAGGGCAGCTGGAGTTTTCAATTTGTGTTAAAAACTGAAATGCAACAAAAACGGAGAGACAGGGTTTTGTTCCAACAGTGTTGATATATTGGTGTTCAGATTTTTTTGGTCTTTTATATTAATATATATTTGTTTTTATGTGTGCCTTGAAAATTGGCTTGTCGAGTTGAATATTTTACAGTAGAAGGAGTCGCCATACAGTCGACCTGATTGGACTGGAAAGTTTTTCACACACACACACACACACACACACACTCTGTGGGTTACAGTGTCCTCATTTAATAAGCGTATCATGAGCTGTGACTAATTCACTTCTGAAAATATAGATCAGACTTCACCATAGAAACCAGAGAGAGAGAGAGAGACAGACAGACAGACAGACAGAGAGAGAGAGAGAAGGGCAGACGCTGAGAAAGAGAAAGACTGAAGTTGCGAGAGAGCAAGAGACAGAATCACACTGGTTTTCTGGTGCTAAACAGTTTGCTTGTTGTCCCTCTATCTCTCTCTTTCTCCCTCTCTATCTCTCTCTTTCTCCCTCTCTCTCACTCTCTCTCTCTCTCACTCTCTCTTTATGTCCATTATATGGATTTATTCTGTTGTTTGGTGTTTTATTGATTTCTTTCTGGCTTCAGGCTTCAGTTTTTTTACAGCATCGTCCTATTTTTTTAGGTCACACTCATTTTAGTGGCACCACACACACACACACACACACACACACACACACACACACACACACACACACACACACTCTGAGTACTGTACTCCTTTCGACGCTGTGAGTGCTATTTTAACACTCCTACGAAGCTTTTGAAACGTGCTTCCACCCACACTCTCTCTCTCCCTCTCCCTCTCTCTCTCCCACTCTGTCTCTCTCTCCCCTTTCTCTCATAACTCTCCACTCTAGTGTTCTTGCTCTCATTCCCTCTCTTTCCTTTTCTCTCTTCCTTTCTTCTTTCTCTCTTCCTTTTTCTCTCTCTTCCTCTTTCTCTCCTTCCTCTCCTCTAGTGTTCTTGCTCTCATTCCCTCTCTTTCCTTCTCTCTGTTCCTTTCTTCTTTCTTTCTCCATTTTTTCTCTCTCTTCCTTTCTTCTCTCTGTCTCCCTCTATCCCTCTGTCATTCCTCCGTCTCTCTTTCTCTTACCCTCTTCATGTCTCTCTGCCTGTTTTTCTTTCTCTATCTCTCAATCCTCTCTTTTTCCTCTTCTGTTTTCCTTTTTTCTCTTTTCCTCTCTTCTTTTCTTCTCTCTCTTTCTCTCACACTCTCTCTTTCTCACTTTCTCTGTCGCCCCTCCTCTCTCTCTCTCTCTCTCTCAGTCTCTTTCAGCAGGGTGTGTGGGGAGTGAGATGTGTGCTGTGTGAAGAGTGTAATGAGAGACAGCTGGAGGGACAGCAGGGTTCAGTTCAGCTGGAAGAGAGGAAGAGAAGCGATAGAGCTGGGCGATAACTGAACTTTCGAAGTTGCAGTGGTTCAGCTACAGCCTCTCTTTTCTGCCAGCCAATCAGAGCGAGCGTTTTTGCATACTTTGAGCACAATTTCAGCTAGTCTCGTTGGTAACTTGGCTGTTTGGATGACAGCAGGTAAAAAACAGCTGCGGTGGAAATGGAAGTGGCTTTGGTTTTAAAGCTGATGATGTAGAACAACAACAGGTTACAGAGCCATTTTAACATTGAAGTGAAACACAGAAATATATCTTCTCATTTGTTTATCAGTTACACTGGAGTATATAAATACGACACCTAACTAGTGCTGGGCAGTCGAAACCAGCCATGTCGGATTGGTAAGATGTTGTTTTAGTGCAGAGTAAAACACTCAAACAGCAGCTCATTAACTTTATCAATAATGCATATTATATGAAAGAGTTTTGGCGATATGGCAAAAATACAGCATCACAAAACATCATGATGCGTCATATATATCACTGTTTTTAGTTTTTCTGAGGTTTGATGTGCTGGATTTGTAAAATATTGTCAAAAACTATGAATACAGTGTTTTTATAACGTCTCAAACGCTGCATTTCACTAAATCTGATAAACTGGACCGATTATGTTCTCTTTGTAATGCAACATGCAGTTGCTCAGTGTTCTTTAAGGACTGGCGGTATGCTCAGAAAAGAGAAATGTGACATAATTCATCACAATAATAATAAATATCATCAGATTATCCACCTCTATGTTGAATTTGATTCTCAGCACAGAACCTAATAGACTAACCCTCCACATATTCACTGTATTATGATGAATTGTTGGCTGCATAAAACAGTAACTAAAGGTGTCTTTACCTTTTAATGTTCATCAAATTGATCATAATAAGTTTTCCCCAGGTCGTCCACCTCTTGGACGAATTCTGAGAGCAGTCTGAGGATATGTAGAAGAAGCCGGGGGGTGTTTGTAGTCCTTCTTGACCCCAGGGCGCAGTGAGAGTGTGTGACCGAGCGGAGGGGAGTGTTCACGCTGTTCTGGAGTCAGTTATAGTCCCGCTGTCACTCACGGAGACGGACGCCGCGGCTTTTTGGCTCCACGCTACATTTTTCCCTCCAAAACTACAGAGAGGGAAAAAATCTGTTTCCTGTCCTCTTTTTCTCTCCCTCTCTCTCTCTCGTTTTTTTCCTCCCAAGCATTTCCGTTCTTTGGTTTTCTATCTCTCCCTCCTGCCAGCTGGCCGAGGCTTTGTTAGGGAGAATGGTGTGGAAAAATGTGGCGCGTTTATTGAGCTGAAAGATCAGCGCTGTACATTCAGAGGTGTTTATAGTACAGGCTTCAACACTACAAACATAGCTACAGCGATAGTTCGGCCAGAAATATCGTTTACACGGCTCTCGTCCTCGGCCCGAATGTGGTTGATCAGCCAAGACATGTTGGGTGTTTGAAGTTTGCTTCTTGTGTTTTGCGTTGGAGCCAAAGCCGGGGGAGTTCCCGGTGGGCCGGTAGTGTTTTGGGCCGGTTACAGTGAGCTAATATATAAACTTACACAAGCTCAAAAATGCTCAGATAAACATTAATATTACAACCAAGCGTGTATCTCAGTTCTTTAGCTTCATTTACCAAACCTGAAGTAGGAAACCTGG